ATGTGTTCACATTCAAGAGATAGCAGGGCTAAGACTTTCCAGGTTTTACATTCTTTCACTATCTCTTTGATCATATTGACTCTCAAATCTATACCCTCCTTCGCAAGATCTTTTTTGATCAAACTTTTTCATTTAAAAGAAGTGAAGATACATACAGGAAAGCACACAAATCCGTGTGTCTACAGCCTGATGAATGGTCACAAAGTGAGCATAACAGTTCAGCTACCCCCCAAGGCAAGAAATCAACCATTACCAGGAGCTCACCACCCCCGTTTGGGCTCCTTCCAGCTCCCTCATGGCAACACTCCTGATTTCCAACACCATACTTCAGCTATTTTTTTACACTCATTCAACTAGTATTTCTCAGCTAGGCACCGGAACTTCTCAGTCCTGGCAGATGGTGTTACAAACCCAAACACAAGATTTCATCCTAGTAAGCTTCCTGTTGGTAGACTGGATTTTCTGCGGCGTGACCTATTTTAGGCAGGATTGGGGGTGGGTGAGCTCTCTGAACTCTCAGGGATTTTACCTAATAAATATTTTTCTTATTACCTGTTTATTTAAGCACATCCAGTACTTCCTACAAGAGCAGATGGGACCATAGCAAGAATCTCCTTGCTGCCTGACACATGAGAAGCAGCCTGACCAGCTGGCACCTGCTGTCCTACAACCAGCCTCAACACGGCATCGAGCTGCCTGCACCAGTGACAGCAAAGCAGCACCCATCTGTCTACAGCTCAGGTATTTTCTCTCGCTCTCAGTCTCACAGCCTCAGCCTTCCAGGAGGTTTCTAGGGCTGGGTAACTAGTTCCTTCTGGGTTGGGGAATGGGGAACAAGTGTACAACTTATTTTGGCTCAAATATAAGATTGACATTTGGTTTTAGAAATAGGAGTATTTCTTATGCAGCTTCCATTTTATGAAAATTAGGGATACGTTTCCCATCCTCTTATCTATTTAATCAACAAAGGTCTTAATGGAGGAGTGGACAGCTGGATTCTTAAAATGCCAGCTCCTTCCCAGTATCCTCTAAATCAGACATTTCTGTTTGAGCATGCACCTGCAAAAATGGTATGTTGTTTTCCAGCTTCACTGCAAGATCCTTACCAGAATTCAGGATAGGTATCTCAAGGATACCATTACAAGTTCCAAATAATTCCTCTTTCATGCTTGAAAAGCTGTGACTGTAGGGTCCCTGTAGGGAATAGCTGGTGCCTTCAATGGGGAGGGGCTTGAGAGTGAGCAGCTCAGGGACACTGTGGTCTACAATTCAGCCACATCCTTTGTGGTAATAAACTGCAACAAAATGTACTTTAAATATATTTTTATAATCAGTTGGCTTTTAAATTACAGCCATGCTGAATAAGAGCAGAGAAAACATATGATTAGTAATTTCCTTATGTAGAAAGTGGAACAGTTTCTGGCTAAGGCCCAGGGCTTTAAAAAATGTGCTTTTAGTAAAAAAAAGAAAATGGAAAACTGTCTTTATTCCAAAGCCAAAGCAATGGTTCATGGCCTCCTCCTGAGCAGTAACAGTCCAGCTCCACGAGGAAGTGGAAATGGAAAAGATGAGCTTGGGAAAATATTCTAAGCTGTCTGCCTACCCAGCCACTGTCATCTATATACTAAGCCACCCTCTCTGGTCCTTATAAGCACAGAAAAATGGATCTGTGGCAGCCGTGGTTACTGGTCTTCTAGAAATGACTATTCCAGGAGGTGCAGAAATGCTACTGAACATGGATGTGCAGCACAGAAAGCCTATGTGGGATCCTGATCACCAGTGAAAGGCGGCTCCTTATAGAGCTAAGGGAAAGCCAATGTTTGTTTTGATGCAGCTCCCCCACCTTGCCTAACACATTTGGGGAAGAATAGATGTATCATGTTTCATACTTTGGGAGCAACAGCTTCTTAATGTGGACCAAAGGCTATGTTCAGGAACACCTGGAATGCTTGTTAAGGACAGGGATTCTCAGACTGAAAGACAGAATCCTCAGAGCAGGCTGGAAATGCGCTTTTTTTTGAGAACAGAGTCTCGTTCTGTTGGCCAGGCTGGAGTGCCATGGGGGTGATCTCGACTCATTGCAACCTCTGCCTCCCAAGTAGCTGAGATTACAGGCCTGCACCACCATGCCCAGCTAGTTTTTTGTAGTTTTGGTAGAGATGGGGTTTCGCCATGCCCAGGCTGATCTCGAATTCCTGAGTTCAGGTGATCTGCCTGCCTCGGCCTCCCAAAGTGCTAGGATAATGGGTGTGTGCCACCGTGCCCGACTGAAATTTGCATTCTCTACCTGCTCCCTCTGGGAATTTTTAAGCATCCTGTGAAGGGAAGGCTTATATGAAATCATAAAAATGTAATTCTACTTGTAGCAAGCTCCCCCCAAAAGATCTTGCAGGATTTACAGACAGGTTATATTTGGTCATTATTTCCTTTGAAGGAGAAATGGTTTTCTTATGTGATTCCATCTGCAAGGACTGTCAGATACCATCAGTACTTCAGTACTACAAAAATCAGGGATACTGTTCTTCTCCCAAGTATTGACAACTTATAAGGAAAGGGCTCAGTGCTTCATTTATTTTGGAGACCAGTGCTAGATGAAATGTTGCTAGTAAATTTCTCCAGAAGCACCCTTCCTCCCCTTTGGTGAGGCATTTAGTTGTCAGTTTAGTCGTAATAGTGTCAGGACAAGTTGCCAGTTTTTCTTTTTCCTTTTTTTTTTTTTTTAAAAAAGAGATGGGGGTCTCACTACATTGGCCAGGCTGGCCTCAAACTTCTGGACTTAAGCAATCCTCCCACCTCAGCCTCTGTCCCAGTAGCTGGGATTACAGGTGTGAGCCACCACACTTGGCTTAGTTTTACTTTCTTAACATTAAACTCTCAAAAGTCCCACGGTTCCATTCCTGTTGTCTTGGGGTGGCTCCCAACTGTCAGTGGCTTGACTTCCCAGGCAAGGTTTCTGGGAAATTGGCTCTTCGTCACTTAAAGGTTTAAACCTTGTGTGTGTGTGAGACAGGGTCTCACTCTACCACCCAGGCTGGAGTGCAGTGGCACAATCATGGCATACTGTAGCCTTGACTTCCTGGGCCAAGGTGATTCTCCCGTCTCAGCCCCCAAGTAGCTGGCACTACAGTGCATGCCACCACACCCAGCTAATTTTTATCTGTTGTAGAGATGGGGTCTTGCTATATTGCCCAGGCTTGTCTTGAACTCCTGGTCTCAAGTGATCTGCCTGCCTCAGCCTCCCAAAGTGCTAAGATTATGGGTGCGAACCACCACACCTGCCTAGACTTCTCTTAAGCTGGAAAATAAGATCAAGAGTTGCCAACCCCATGCTGGCCTTGCTGGCCTTACTTGGGAACCTTGCCCAAGCCTCCTGTCACACATCCCTTTTATGGAGTTTGTGCCTCAATAAACTGCAGCCGTACCAATGGGGATAATCAGGTTTGTTTATAAAGTGTACCAGGATCCCAAGATAAAAGGCATTGTAAATGCCTAGTGTGATTAGAGCAAACAAGGTACCAGCTAGCATTCATTACATAGAAGTTAGATACATACCGTGTAAGACCTCACTCAACGATAAAACAAGCACTCATTTTCTTTTTCTAAATCTAGCATGAGAAATCAGAGGGCAGCATGCAGACCCAGGGGTTCATTTGCTCATTTATTTACACTCATGCCTTTCCTTTCTCAGATGGAACAAAGAAAATTCCCAGGCCCACAAACCACCAGAGATACAACCTTATTTGCTCAAAAGGTAGGTCATGCCCATAAGGGGCAGGGGCAGGCCATGCACAGCTCTACCTCTCTACACACACACGCAGACACACACACACGCGCACACACACACACACGCAGACACACACACTCACTCTGTCTCTCTCTCTCTCTCTCTCTCTCTCTCTCTCTCTCTCTCTCTGGCTGTGACCTCACTTTCACAGTTCATGCAGAGGAGGAAGGTCATCCATGTGGTCCTGGGAGAGCTGGTCTGTTGCTGCCCAGGTCTGCCTGCATGGCTCTCACAGCCCCCCCAAGTTTTCCTCCAAAAGGTTCAGATCTTGACCCTGAAACAGACCTCATAATGAAACACCTATGGGAAAAGTCTATTCTCTGGCCTTTTTCCTGAGCTCAATAATGTTTAATTTTTAAAAAGGAGAAGGAAGGAGGGAGGGAAAGAAGTCTGATATTTCTCCAGTGCACTTGGCTCTCACAGATGGCCTTGGTCAAAATTCACCACCAGCAATTGTGCCAAAACACCTAGTTTGAATTCTGGCTGTCATGCTGCTTCATTTAATGAGATGGTTCCAATTTCCTTTACTGTTTAAAAAGAATTTGAGGCCAGATGCAGTGGCTCATGCTTGTAATCCCAGCACTTCAGGAGGCCGAGGCGGGTGGATCAGAAGGGGTCAGGAGATCAAGACCATCCTGGCCAACATGGTGAAACCCCGTGTCTACTAAAAATACAAAAAATTAGCTGGGCGTGGTGGTGGGTGCCTATAGTCCCAGCTAAACTCTGGAAGCTGAGGCAGGAGAATGGCGTGAAACTGAGAAGCGGAGCTTGCAATGAGCTGAGATCACGCCACTGCATTCCAGCCTGGGCAACAGAGCGAGACTCTGTCTGTCTCAAAAAAACAAAAAAAAAAGCCCGGCTTCATCTCTCCTTTCTTGTCACTACACGTTTCACCCAGTCACCTGGCAGTTGTACTCAGAGTCAAGGACTAGTGCTTCCGCACCTGAGAAGAACCACCTCGGGCTCCCCTTGGAGGCGACCTGTCGGAAGAGTGCTTTGCCTAAGGAGGCCTCAAACTTCAGCCTCCTGACTCGCAATCCCAGTCAGGAGTCAAGCTCTGGAAGTGGACAAGTGCCCTTGGAAGAGAGCCTGTGACCAGTGGACTGGCATACTCGCCCTCCCTGCTCAGCGCAGTCCATCAGCGTGTGCTGCCACTGCTGCTAAGTCAATCGGCTCGGGGTGGACAGCTGTCAGAGATGAATCAGGGACCAGCAAAAGAGCTTAATGAAATTTTATTTTGAAAATATGGCAAGAGTCTAAGGCACTTCAAACATAGAGGACCAAAGGAAATGTGACATGGTATAAAGGAATCCATAAATACAAAGAGAACTACACCATGTTTCTCTAGAGGCAAATACAAGAGCCAATTCCTCTAACACAATCCAACCTTTATCATTAGAGTTGTGCAATTAATAAAAATGATAATGTTACATGTAGTTCTTCATATCTTTAGTATGGAATATAAAAGTTGAAAATACTGTGTCAATTTCATATAGATACTCTTTTTATAAAAAGTCATATATTACATCTACCTAGATAAAACCAAACGAGAATATTCTTTTGTAAGTTTTATACTTTGAGAGTTTTGTCTAGCCCAGGCCCAAGTTACCGATGATCAAAGTCATCTCAACTTCCTTATTTTAAAATAAAAGACAAGAAAAATCAAAACTATGCTGGATGGAATGAGATTTTGGAAGAGCTTCCTAATAGTTCCACATTTAATAAATGTAAATATTTGAGGAAAAATTTTAAAACATCTCAATGAGAACCTGACACTTCTTTGTGGGAGTGAACAGAAGGTGCCCCTTCAGATCAGGTCAGAATTTCCTATGACTGTACAAAACAAAGCAGAGACTCAACAGCAACAGAGACTGGGTTAAAGTGCCCTACACAGAGAGAAGATGGCCAGAAAGGAGGCGTGTGTGCCCAGGCTGGCAATCTCTGCACTATGAAAGCTTCAGCCTTTACCCCTGGGCTTGATGCTTCCGTTTGCTGGTGAGCTCAGGCACAATACATATACATTCAGTATCTGTCACCCCAACAGGAACAATTAGCAGCTTAATGGTGGCATGTAAATGAGGGCTATTTGCATACAATCAATCAAATGAACCTCGGTGGGTGGGGCCAGGAGACGTCTTCCTTCCAAGCCTAGGGGTGCCCTAGAGACCAGGAAAGGAAAAAAACTGGGGGTTAATAAGTGACTTCAGGCAGATGTGTACCCTGTGACATAGGATCTTGGCCCACCACAGCCAACAACCAGCTGTGAGCCCAAGCCAGGAGAGCTCTGAGAAGAGGGAACAGGTGTCCACAGCTCCAAGGCCAGCTGGGCTCAGCAGTGCTATGTCCGGCTGTCCTGGGAAGTCACCTTCCCACTCAGAGTGAACTGTGGACTACAGGCTGCCTGCCATCTGCTTCAAGAACAATGCCAAAACCATGGTGAAATAACCCCATGGGCTTGGAGAGTGCTCTCTGGATAATTCTGTACAGAATCAAAACCTCTATGGGAAGCTGTGAGAGCATCTGTCTTACAAGGACAAGCAGGGCCCACCCTCTGCTAAAACAGTTCTCCTGCCCTTTAGGGGCAGAGGCAGAAAAGAAGAACTCTTAAGCTCCAGACTAAAACTTCCATTTTCTGAATCAACATAAAATCTGTCTCCTGTCAGTTCCTGGAGGAAGGGGGTCCACCAGTCTGGTGGATTTCAGCCTATTTACAAATGCCAAATGCACAACACTGACCGGAGACTGGGCTTTTGCAAAGTTGACATGGGCATACAGAAGAACAGCGATGTCCTTGTGTCCTGCTTCCAGGGCGATCGAGAGCGCAGTGCTGCCATCCTTAAGATAAGACGGAAAGAATAAGCCATGTTGGGTTTCTCAAACCTCCAGGCAACCAAAAGGTAGCAGAACAAAACACCCTCCAGTAATTGGCAAGGTTCCCCAAATATCCCTCCTTGTTCCGTCCTCTGGGAAACTTTTTCAGGACCTGTAAGTGTGAAGGCCTGAGGATGTGAAGATGAACGAGGCAAGCCTCCACCCTCCAGAGGTCCCAGTTAAGAGAATTATCTTATCCAACCATTCTGCCCACCAGGAGGGGGAAGCAGAAGATGGGGACAGAAAGTTGTTTTTTTTTTTCTTATAATTATGAATGAGCAGGCAAGCAGCAGTAGTGTGTGTTTAGAGACTCTGCAATTTGCCAGAGATCTTTTACCTTTCTTCTTAGAGAGGGCACTGTGATCCTAAAACCCTAACCACCTCTGTTTAAGGCTCCAAGGAACATCTGTGTGTAAGCACACAATCCCAGTGGGTTACATAGATACGTATTCTGGAAATAAGAGGGGAAACACTACATATGGGGGAAAAAAGCTTCACTTAACTGCTTGATTTCCATTAAATTTCAGCGATTATAGATGGATATACAGGAGTATCAAGGGAAAGAACATAACTTGTTTTCTGTCTAGTCTTTGTTTTTTGAGACAGGATCTGCCTCCCAGGCTGCAGTGCAGTGGGACGATCACACATCACTGTAGTCTTGATCTCCAGGGCTCAAGTAATTCTCCCACCTCAACCTCCAAGGTAGCTGGGACTACAGGTGTGTACCACTACACCTAGATAATTTTTTTTTTGTAGAGATGGGAGTCTCACTATGTTGCCCAGGCTGGTCTCGAACTCCTGGGCTAGAGCGATCCTCCTGTCTCAGCCTCCCAAAGTGCTGGAATTACAGGAGTGACCCACTGTGCCCAGCCTATCTAGTCTTGAAATAAGGATTCCCCTCTGGTCAGCAGCAGCAGGACGACACAGTTCTCCTTTGGTTTAATGTTAGGATCCTTCCCTCACACGCTTTGAATTTTGAAAGAGAATAGAAGTAAAATCAAACAAAAACCACAGCACAGCTAACAAACTTTTCTGGAAGAAACAAGTCAGAAGCTCTCCCTCCCATAGGGGAAGAAGGGAATCTGGTACAGCTGTAGCTCCTGTGTGCTCCTGTGGAGGTAGCTGAGTGTGAAGCTAGTCAGTCCCTCATACCAGTGAAAAGCTCAGCTGGTTTGTTCTCCCTACTGGCTTGGGCCCAGAAGGATCTGACCTACAAAGGATATTTTCCTAACTTTTTGGTGTTTTGAGCTGAAGAAGCTCTGATCCAAACCTGTGATCCGTAGAGAGAAACTTTCACAAACAGAACCAAGCCAGCCTGACCTCTATGACCTTTAAACCATCTCACTGCCTACACACCAGTTCCCACGCCTTCTACCTATCGCCACGCCTCTCCTTTGGCCTGGAGACACCCAGAAGTTTCCCGGTCAAGGAGTTAGATGGAAATGTGGACAGCCTGGGAACTGGGAGAAGAGAGCCGAGTGGTGTTGATGGGACAGACTGAGAAGAAATGGGAAAATGCTTCAGGAAGTCAAGCTAGTCTGCAGGCTCTGGGGTATGCTGTGTCATAAGCTACTCACTTTGATGGGTCACAGTGCCTTCACTTTGGCTGGGAAAGGTTCACCGTAGTAGGAACTGGTTTTAGTCACTGTGTAACCCCAGCCTCTAATGATTAATAATCCAGATTTCCAAGTGGACCTGTCAGAAGTCACCTACAGTGAATTTGATTCTGCAATGCAAAGCCATTGATTCCCCTTTAGTAGAGTGCCTCTTGGACATGCCCGTTAAGTCACTTTTTCATGTCATGAATTATGGGGTAGGACCTATTCTGCTTTGGGCACTAGTTTATGAGAGTGTTAGTTTGCACACACTAAGTGTAGCCAAGCTTGGCTGTGAAGGGAGGCGCCTGGATGGCAACACAAATCCAAGAGGAGAATAAAGGAGGATTTGGTCTCCCCTGGCCAAACAGCACTCCCAGAGCTCCCGCCCAGAGTCCCCCAGACCCCTGGCCAGGAGGCCCAGTGGAGACGGCTTACGTTGTCCTCCAGGTGACCATTGCAGCCGGGCTGGGCCAGCAGCAGCTTGACGATCTCCACATGCCCATGCTCACTGGCACACATGAGGGCCGTGGAGCCCTCGTCATCCTGGATGTTGACGTCAGCCCCACAGGCCAGCAGGCCCTTCACCATGTCTATCCGTCCGTGACTGACCGCCAGCATGAGGGCCGTCTGTCCCGCCTGTGGGAAGAGATCACAGGGGACTTCAGAAGTACATACTGAGCTGGCAGTGGTGGCTCCTGGTGGGGCTGTGCTAGGGAAAGGGGGAAAACAGTGTGGTGACAGAAGGGAAACAACTGGCCATGGAACTACTTGGGGTGGGTGGTGGCAAGCAGGGAGAAACCAGCTTCCCATGAGCTATGAGCTAAGGAAGGGCATAAAGTAAGGAGCCAATTTCCCTTTAGCGTGGAGGATGTCTCAGTACAGTGAGGGGCTGGAAGTTCAGGTGGTTAAAGTCAAACTGTGGGTGGTGGGTCACGCCTGTAACCCTAGCACTTTGGGAGGCCGAGGCGGGCAGATTGCCTGAGCTCAGGAGTTCAAGAGCAGCCTGGGCAACACTGAAACCCCGTCTCTACTTTAAAAAAGAAAAAAAACCAAGTGTGGTGGCACATGCCTGTTAGTCCCAGCTACTCGGGAGGCTAAGGCAGGAGAATCGCTTGAACCCAGGAGGTGGAGGTTGCAGTGAACCAAGATCATGCCACTGCACTCCAGCCTGGGCGACAGAGCGAGACTGTCTCTTTAAAAAAAAAAAAAGTCAAGCTGTGAACACATCTGGACCTGGGACATCGCCTGCGACGAAGACACTGCAACACAGAGACAGGAAGCAACAGTCACCAAGTATCTGATGGGGATGCCCAGTCATTTATATGTAAGGGAACTAACAGCATTTCCATGCAAACTATGCAAGCGGAGGAAAGGCAAGCCAAAGGAGGGAGAAGTTTCCAGTGTGAAATTTAAGCCCATATTTCCCTGGTGTGTTTGCTCAGCAAGGAGCACCAGGCAGTGCATGGACTCAGGGCAGGCCTGCGAACAAGTGCACGTGGTGGGAGTGTGGCAACTATGCCTCCTCTGCCAGAGTGGCCACCACAGTCCTGTCTGCTGGTCAGGGGTGCATTCCTGAGCACGGGAACCAAGCGCGCTAACCTGACTAGCTTTGGCGTTCACATCCCCGCAGCCAAAGAGTTCTTCCACAACCCGCATGTCCTTCTCTGCTTCCACAGCGGCGAGGGCTGCCAGCATGATGGGGGTGTAGCCTGCCTTGTTCTGGTGATCGACGTTACACACATCTGCAAAAAAAAAAAAGTCTCTTAGGAAGCAGACCCTTCTAACGGCAGCCGCTTACAGAGCCACTGAAGGGATGGTGTTTACAGGAGCCCAGTGAAATGGCACCAGGTGGCTGGAGACCAAGAGTGACTTAGAATGAAATGTGAGAGATGTTTTCATGCTAAACCAAAAACTTTTTTCACGAGACCTGAAGCAACAGAAACAACGGTAAGCTTCTACAGCATATCTTGTTTGCAACTGGTAGCAGAAATGCAATGGCTTGGAAGTCTGGGTGGTTGTTCTAATGGCTGCTCTTGAGAATAAATGATCATATGGAATCTAAGCACTTAGCTGTGTTTGGAAAGTGAAGCAGGTAGTGAGCTACTCATCAAAGAAGTGTTTGTAAAAGCTTATGTATGGAACGTTGGACAGGGTGGTACCTACTTATCCAAACACTATTCATTCTGAGACTCTGAATTACTACTCTCAGGACCCCTGACAGGCTAGAGTAGTAATTCCAATCATGTAACACCCAGCTCTAGAATTTATGGTCTGAGAGCAAATGCAGTTAAGTCCCCTTAATAGACTCGATGAACCAGACCTTTTCTATTCCTGTAATTCTTAAGGAGTCTTCAGGGATTAAATTATCCTTCGGGCATTTAAAAGTTCCTTCAGCGCCTTCTCTGAAATGACCGGAATGGTGAGTGTTAGAAAGCAGCTTTTATGTGGGACCAAATATGAAGTGAAAATGTTTAGAATGTTTCTATCATAAAGGAAAAGAAAAGGTACCATGAACAACAACTCCACGCTAAGGACATGTTTTTAAAAGTGGGTGTTTTTTATGCAGAAAATAAAAGGCCCTGTGGTGGAGAAGTGGGTGAGTTCGTGTGCGCTTCGGGGCTCCTCAGCCTCTCAGACTTTGCTCTGCATAGATGCTGAAGTATCCTAGATCTGCACCTTATGGAGCCAGAATCTCAGTCTAGAAGGATAAGCAGTAATACTTCATTAAGAAAAGTGATTAACCCAAACCATCCAACAATGGCATTAAAATTATTTAATTTGCCAAGATGTTTTATCTACTTCTAAGTATACTAAGCTGTTCCTGTCAGGAGTGATAGTGAAATCTTGTTTTCAGCTTCCCTGGATATTATCTACTTCTGTTTAAACAGTTTAATCACTCCCGCTGACCGTATCACCAGCTCTGTTTATAGTCTGGAAAGCCTGAAGAGGAGCGGCTTGAAATTCCTTCCTGTAAGATGGAAGCAATTATATCTTAACATGGCTCCAAAAACAGGGAACAAACACTTATAAAAGAAGGATAAATCTGCTTGGGTTTCTTCTCTGCATTAATTCCAAGTTCCCAAAACAGAGCAGAAGAGATTGGACAGTGGATGAAGAAAAAATTTTGGAAGAATATGCAATAAAACTGTCCGATTTAAGTCAGGTTCACACTGTATCCTCATTAATCAGACTGAGGTTCTGTGGATTCTCTGTGACACACTAGAAGTAAAAATACGTATTACAAAAATTGAAAGATTTGGGGACTATGTGACACAGGGCTGCTCCATTTGAACAAGAAGTTGAAAGCTCAGAGTTTCCTGAGGGGACCACCTGTGTATGTGCCCCTCCCTCACTTCATGTCTAAGACGTCCACTGGCTCTATTCTGGGATGACAAGTTTCTACTATTCTATTATGGTTGAGAGACAAGAATCGTACGCCCTTTGCTCTATGCTGTTTCCCCAATAATAGAATATTTTGGTGCGAATGGTGATCATTTTGACCATCTGTTATGGTGGCTTTGCTTAGTCCCCATCTTGACTAACCACACACTTCTGCAAGGACAGCAGTCATGGAGTAAGGACAAATCAAGTGGTCCACAAGCACCAACGCTGTGACTCTGGGCCTGTAAGCAGTACTCTGCCTCCTGAGTGCAAACCGGCCAAGCCTGCATGATTCAGCTCAGGAGGGAACGTGAGTCATGCTTCTTACCAGGGATACACCTCTCACTTGAATGCAGCTGAACTGCAGCAGCAAGAAGATCCTCAAAACCTCCTTTCAAAACAGATCTGGAATCTGTGTCACCCAGTTTTGTTTAAACTTCAACCCTCTTGACTCAAGAAAACTCTTGCCATGTCATGTGGAAAAGCAATAAAAAGGATTTTAGCATGGTCAGAGAATTCGGGAGCAGCTCAACCAGGTTCTCTGAGATGAGTCACAACCCAAGTGCTGTTAGAGAAGAGATGGGGTAGAGGGGCAGCCAACATACCGGCATCCAACAGCAGCTTCACAATCTCGAAGTTGGAGTGGGACACGCTGTAATGGAGGGCTGTGTTGCCGTTGCCATCTGCCAAGTTGATGACATAGCGGAGGACATCTGGGGAGATGGCCTCAAAAGCAGCTATGTAGTCCCCCACCATGGCTGGAATGGCTGACTTCTGACTGGACACGCGGAACCACTCGTGCTGGAGGGTGTTCAGACAGAACCTCTGCCAAAACACAGTGTGGTCATTAGTTCTATTTATAGACTTTTTGAGACCTAGTTGAAAGCGCAAGTAACCTGTCCTTTTATAGTCAAAGTATATATGCAGTTAGAATCTGCTCTCAAAACCCAACAGTGCTAAGGGAAGCTTCAAACACCAAACTGGGACATTCCTCCTGATTTTAAACCACACGTAGATTAGATCTCATGTCTATAAAGGAGACCAGACAGCACTGTGCAGAAGCAGAGGCTCTGGAGCCAGACCACCGAGTTTCAAATGCAGGCTCTGCTACCTAAAACCTTTATGACCCTAGGGAAGTTATTCTGCTTCTGTTTCCTCATCTGAAAAATTGGGATAATACCATTCTTTCATAGTTTTTGTGATGAGAATAAACACTAAGGCTTGACTCAATTTATTAAGCTATTAATATATGTAATCATACTGGCCTTGAAAACAATTTTCATAGCAATTAGGAAGAAATTAACTAGCCTACACTGAATTATGCTGCTTCCTTCCTATCCAAACTCACTTCCTTCAACTCCTCAGCACAGCACTAGATTGGGAGACTGTAAGGGTATAGCCAACCCAATTCCCACCCCAATCCCAAATACAACTGTTCAACCATGGAAAGGGAAAATAAAAAGGAAGCCCATCTGGAACTAATTTCATTTTCTCATCAGCTCCACTCTGACTTTCTTTTTTTTTTTTTTTTTTGTTTGTTTTTTGAGACGGAGTCTGGCTCTGTCGCCCAGGCTGGAGTGCAGTGGCGCGATCTCGGCTCACTGCAAGCTCCGCCTCCTGGGTTTACACCATTCTCCTGCCTCAGCCTCCTGAGTAGCTGGGACTACAGGCGCCCGCCACCGCGCCCGGCTAATTTTTTGTATTTTTAGTAGAGACGGGGTTTCACCGTGGTCTCGATCTCCTGACCTTGTGATCCGCCCGCCTCGGCCTCCCAAAGTGCTGGGATTACAGGCGTGAGCCACCGCGCCCGGCCCACTCTGACTTTCTTAAGCTGTGGACATGTGAAGAAGGCACTTGCTTTGTGGATGATCAGCTCAAACCTGGGTCACATGAAGCTCAATGGAGAGTGAGCATAGTCAGTGCTGGTGATGAGGATGACTACAATGTCTTTTCAATGGACCTTCCTTCATATGATTTTAATATTCATTTCTGCTGAGTTTAATATTAAACTAAAAGTTTAAAAACATATCAAAGAAAGATAGCCTATGTCAAAAGAATCAGAACTTAAGAAGTCCTCTTTCTGCAGAAAAGGTAGAGTTGGGATTATACAGCTTCCATCTCTTTATCATCCTGCTACTGATTATTTAGTTTTAACCTTTTCAATCACATTTTGGGTTACTTGAAAAGTATCCTTTTTTCCCTGTATTTTATGTATTCAGATTCCCATTTCTTTGGAGTTGTCACACTGAAAGAAGGGAAATTATGTCTTTTGGTCATCCTAACTCTATTACTGCTAAATAACTGGTATCCTGATATGATTAGCCCTGGCACTGTGTTCACTCGTCCACTACTTTTCACAACACAACACTTTCAAACCAAATGAAAATTCAATTAACAAAAAAATGTACCCATCACAGAGGGTGTGGATGATACTATGCTTCGCAATTTGTAGGATGCAGGAAAACAAAATCCTTCCCAACGGCCATGTAACGTATTTTGAGAGCAGGGAAAGAAAAGTATATTATGGCTATAAAATTTGGGGTTGTAAAGCACCAAGTTTTAAGATTAGGTTAAACCTGATGGGAAATATTGACACTGCAGTGAGATTTTATGGTTTTACTAGTGACCAAGGTATAGCCAGGTATTTTCGTGAATACAAATCCAAGAATTTCAATATGTAGTTCTAGGTTTCCCCTTGACTAGGATTTTTTTTTGAGAGAGGGTGTTGCTCTGTCTCCCAGGCTGGAGTGCAGTGGCACGATCATGGATCACTGCAGCCTCAACTTTCTGGGCCTCCAGCTATCTTCTTACCTCAGCCTCCCAAGTAGCTAGGACCACAGGTACATGCCATCATGCCTGGCTAACTTTTGTATTTTTTGTAGAGACAGGGTTTTGCCATGTTTCCCAGGCTGGTCTCAAACTGAACTCCTGGGCTTAAGAGATCCACTGCCTTGGCCTCCCAAAGTGCTGGGATTATAGGTGTGAGCCACTGTGCCTGGCCTTGACCAGGAATTTTATTTAGTACAGCTAGCCCTCTGTATCCACAGGTTCCATTTCCATAGATTGAACCACCGGCAGAGTGAAAATATTTGAAAAATATGCAATACAAAACAATACAGTATAACAACTATTTATATAGCATTTACATTGTATTAAGTTTTTGAGGCCTGGTGCGGTGGCTCACGCCTGTAATCCCAGCACTTTGGGAGGCCGAGACGGAAGGATCACAAGGTCAGGAGATTGAGACCATCCTAACACAGTGAAACCCCATCTCTACTAAAAATACAAAAAATTAGCCGGGCGTTGTGACAGGCGCCTGTAGTCCCAGCTACTTGGGAGGCTGAGGCAGGAGAATGGCCTGAACCCGGGAGGCAGAGCTTGCAGTGAGCTGAGACCGTGCCACTGCACTCCGGCCTGGGTGACACTGTCAGCATTTCACCATGTTAGCTAGGCTAGTCTGGAACTCCAGACCTCAAGTGATCCACCCGCATCGGCCTCCCAAAGTTTTGGGATTATAGGCGTGAGCCACTGCGCCTGGCCTTGTATTAGGTATTATTATATAGAAATGATTTAAAATATATGGCAGAATTTCAAGTATATGTGTAGTTTATATGCAAATACTACACCATTTTACATAAGTGACTTGAGCATCTGTGCATTTTGGTATCCTTAGGGGATCCTACATTTTCTCAATGCACTGAAGACAGCTGTCAACCAGTGGGTTAGTCTGGCCTATGAAAGAATGTGCACATAACTTCAACACATGAGAATGTGTCATTCTTGGCCTTGGTGTCAGATTAACCATTGCCATAGAAACACTTATATGTCCTATGTTGTACCATTCATGATCACTAAGGCAACCACAAACTCTGCTGTTTGCTCTGAATCTCTTAGACTGTGAGAAGATGACAAGTACAGTTATTTTTATGTTGAAAAATAGTGGCCGCCTGCATTCCACATCAGAGCATAGCATACAGTTTCATAACTGAAAGGAATGCTGACCTCAGCCCAGATAGCATATGTTTTTAAAAGAAACCTAACTTAAAAAAGTTCTTGGATGCTGCTCCCTGGATCTTAATGTTCTATAAATAGAAATGAAATATGTAGAAAAATGACGACTGACTGCAATTAGCCCTCCTTTCTGTCTGCAAGTGTATGCCTCACAGATGCCTCCACCCCCCAAAAAAGTATAGGGTGGGTAAAGGATGAAGTTGGGCCTCAAGGAAACACTGGCAGTGTGATCCTGGGAGCGAGACATGATGTTCACCCAGCCCACACATGCTGTGAACAGTTCAGGAGAAAAGCACACAAGCAACAACTCGGGCAGCCTACAGTTGGCCTTGACAATGAGCCCACTTGTGTACCTTGTACACACGGGGGATGGTGTTTGCAGGTCAGACTCACCATATCTTTGCTGGTCAAAGCTTTGGGGTCATTTATGTTATTTTTCAGTAAGTTGCATGCAGACAACATCTTTTCACTTAATTCATACCTGAAAAGGAAAAAAAGAACTTACGATTGGGCACAAGAGGAAAATCATTTTTATTTCAACCCAAATATATATATATATAAATTTTTTTTGAGACAGGGTCTTGCTTTGTCACCCAGGCTGGAGTGCAGTGGCATGATCTTGGCTCACTGCAACCACGGCCTCCTGGATTCAAGCAATCCTCCTGCCTCAGTTTCCCTAGTAGCTGGGACTACAGGTATGTACCACCAGGCCCGGCTAATTTTTGTATTTTTAGTAGAGATGGGGTTTCACTATGTTGGCCAGGCTGGTCTTGAACTCCTGACCTCAGGTGATGCACCCACCTCGGCCTCACAAAGTGCTGGGATTACAGGTGTGGGACAGACACTATGTCCAGCTTCAACTTTTAAAAATGTATTTTTAAAGGGAAGTGGCCCCAAGCCAGCCTAAGCGGGTATTATGGCACAAGGTGCTTGGATAGAGGCAGCACAGGCATCCTTAGGTGTCCAAGGGTCATGTGCACTGTGCAGAGCCAATACCTCCAGCCAGAGATTGAGGCCTTGTTTGGGAGGGTGACTTTCGGCGTCACCAATTTGGCCTTTATGACACTCTGCAGTAACATTTAGAGATTTTTTTTTTTCTTTTGAGACAAGGTCTCACTCTATTGCCCAGCCTGCTCACTGCAGTTTTGTTGTCCCAGGCTCAAGCAATCTTCCCACCTTAGCCTCCCAAGTAACTGGGAATACACGTGTGTGCCACCACACTCGGCTTTGTATTATTTGTAGAGACAGGGTTTCACCATGTTGCCCAGGCTGCTCTCGAACTCTTGGGCTCAATTTACCTGCTTGTCTGCCTCAGCCTCCCAGAGTATTGGGATTATGGGTGTGAGCCACTGTGTCCAACCTGTTCTAAGTTTTTAAAAATATTTTTAATCTTAAGGGGGTTGAAGGGAGACCCACATTACTTTTTTTCTGAGACAGGGTCTTGCTCTGTCACCCAGACTGGAGTGTACTGGCATGATCATGGCTCACTGCAGCCTCAACCTCCAGGGTTCAAGTGATCCTCCCACCTTATCCTCTTGAGTAGCTGGCATATGACACCATGCCCAGGTAATTGATTTTTTTTTTTTTATAGGGATGAAGTCTATGTTGTCCAGGCTAGTCTCGAACTCCTGTGCTCAAGCGATCCTCTTGCCTTGCCTTTCCACAAATTACCGTATATCCATTGTGCTGACCAGTAAACCACACATCCGAACCCATACGTGGTGACTCAAGTGTTTAACCCATATAAAAAATGACATATGGTATATAAATTACATCTCAAAGCTGTTAAAGAGCCATGTGAAACACTTGGAAATATAAACTAAAAACACTTACCTTGTGTTAATGCAGTTAAACTTTCATTTGCCAAATTAAACAGAGGTTAAGTTTTCTGAAATGTTCTATTTATACTTCACATAGTGAAAAACCATACTGAAGTTTCCATCTTTTTTATTCTCTATTTTAGGAGCATCAAATCCTTATCAATGGTCTTGAAAGCTTACATTTTTAGGCACGTGTTTCAGCCAACCAGTGTTTTTCAGAGACTATTTATGATATACTCAAATCCATTCTCACGGTATTCCTGATCACTCAATGTATAACAAAATACAAACACGTGATACTGCATCATCTTTACAGTAAATATGATCTTTGGCTGAAGCCTCATCCACACAATGATCCTGTAATAATGATACTGACACCCGCATCAACACAAATAGCTAAAGATAAAATCTGAAGTTTTAAAGTATGCTGGCCACCAAAAAAAAAAAAAGTCTTTAAGGTAAGGTGTTCAAACAATGAAGTTTTAGTGGATTGTGGTTCCATATATTAAATTACGTAGCAGAGTTGAGGTTTCAGAAAACAAGGGTGATTAGGTATCAGGCCATTCTCTTTTCTACCATAAGAGATTTAAGAGTTGCCATAATCTGCACTTGTATATATTAGTATCTCAAGATGTGTGTACCTCTGAGGAACAGATAAAAGCAAACACATTTAATTACAAAAACTCTGAACTGGCCAACTCGATTGCCAAAGTACATTGAATGTGGGAGGGACAAGGGAGGGAAGGGGAATGTACCACACCTCTCTCTGATTTCCACCTTCTCAGGTTCACATTCTTGAACCTGCATTTCATCTTCCACCCTGGCAGACTTGAAACCTTCATTATTAACTGCATGGTGCCCTTCTGCCATTCCCCGAGTGTCTTCATCCTCCTCCTCTTCCTCTTCTTCAAGAGGATACTCAATGACATCACACTCGTCATCTGACTCGGAAGAAGAGCTTTCATCTGAGCTGGAATCATCACTTGAAGTTGTTTCATACCTAGGTGGCAATTGGGATTTCAGGAGATGCAAGCTGTGCCCACAAAGCCCCAGTGATAGAAATTTCTATGAAGGGATTTGCTTTTGACTCCAGAAATTCCACTAGTGATTTTAGATCCTGCACTTAGAAGTTCAAAGTAAGGTCTATTTAAATGCCTGGTGGTTTTGAATGGATTCTAACTTAAATTGGTAATCAGTATCATATAACCAATTGGTATCATGTAACACTTGTTAAAGAAAATAACGGCATCTCGGGCTTAGTATAAATCAAGAGAAAACATTTTATGGAAAACAGATTGGTAGTTGCTAAGTTTTTGTCCCCCCCAACCTCATTCATTTCTTCCTATTTCATACTATTAATCCTCCTAGTATCAAGGTGAATAGATTACATAGGCAATCAATAGTTCTGCTGGTGTATGCCCTCCAAAATCTCCTGGTCGTATCACTGAATAAAACTTTTAAGATTTGGAAAACAGGCACCATAAGGTTAAACCCTGATGGTACACTTTGCTATAAACATTATCTTAACTAACTTTGTATTCTTTCTTATGGAGGCCATGTATCAATTCATTGATTTGATTCAATTGTAGGATGACAAAGAGGCTTAACTATATACGTGGGGCAATGGAAAGAGAAGGAACAAACAATAACCATTCTATTTAGAAAGCAAACTGGTGATATGGCTATCAATCGTGAAAGGCCCTACGATTTGGGTGGTAAACATGGAGAGCTAAGCAAAAGAACCCATTTTGAAGGAATAGATGACTATTGTTGGCTCAGAGAGTGATGCTCTCAGTCTTTTTCTGCTCAATTGTGAGTTCTCATACAGGTTAAGTACAAGTTGTCCAACACAGTGCAGGAACCCTGCTGCATTCGTTGAAGACTATTTCTTTCAGCTCAGAGGTGAGGAGATGTAAACTGCTCGGCTTCATCAGGTATCCTTAGGACAGTGACAAATCCTTAAAAGACAGCAAGAGGAGGAAAGAAAAGCAGCCCAAATGCACCTTTCTGCCTTTCTGAGGGGGGACTCTTCCATCACCGCGCTGTGGCCACTTCCCCGACTAGGCACCTTGAAATGTGACTTAGATAGGCAGGAGGCAAAGGAGACTGACAGCATTAGCCTTTAGAACCACCATCTTTCCTTACCCTCCATTAATGCCAACAAATTGAAGATTCTTTTTCGCGCCATTTGAATCTTTGTTACCATCTTTCTTCTTCATGATGGACTTCAGTGTACTTTCATTGTTTGTACATGCTGTGAAAAAGTTAAGGTAATAAAAATGAAAACTCATACCCATACATGTTAAATGAATCTTTTTTCCTGTACAATTTTTTTCTTACGCATGTAAATGTAGATCTTGGCATGTGTATGTGAGAAGTTTCCACAAAATTCAATGGGAAAGTGTGGGCATGCAAAGAAAATAATTCAGAGTTCCATTAATAACATTCTTCACATGGGAAAAAAATCAATTAGTACTTCCAGACATAACAAAGTGGTGACAATTGACATTTGTATCCGGCTTTAGTGCTTATAAAGTGATGTCGTGTCTCATTTGGGCCTCAAGGACCATTTAGGCACTAAACAGGGATTATTATTTTTCTTCAGCTGTGATAACCTGCCAGAATGTAAATAAAAGGCTATTTAAAATATTTCATAATTTGTAGTATCAGGTAAGCTTTCTTGTGCAGCTTTCTTTCTTTGGTAATTTTGAGACAGGGTCGATTTCTGTCACCCAGGCTGGAGTGCAGTGGCATGATCTCAGCTCACTGGAACCTCCACCTCCCGGGTTCAAGTGACTCTCCCACCTCAGCCACCCGAGTAGCTGGGACTAACAGGTGTGCACCACCATGCCTGGCTGATTTTTGTATTTTTTAGTAGAGATGGGGTTTCACCATGTTGGCCAGGCTGGTCTCGAACTCCTGGCCTCAAGTGATCTGCCTGCCTTGGCCTCCCAAAGTGCCAGGATTACAGGTGTGAACCACCATGCCCGGCCTCTGTGGTAACCTTATTTAAAGATATTCTGGGCCTACCTTCCAAACGATATTAACTTTCTTCTAGGTCAATTTAAAAGGTGCACTGACATTAAATTGGAATGCTGGCAATGCTGGCCCTAGAATCCTGATGCCAATGACTGTAAGAAAAGTTACCATAGAGGCCAGCGGCGATCTGGTCGTCTGTCAGGTTCACTGGAGACAGCGTATCTTCCTGAGTGGGGAAGGCATCCAGGCTGTTGACTGGCTTTCCTTCTGAAGTCCCCACTTCTTGCTCAGGCTGGGATGTCTGGGAGCTTAAGGGACTTCCTGACTGAAGGCCTCCACACTTACATGTATATCCCAAATTACTGCCTATCAGGAAAAAGAAAGGTACAGAGTATGTGATGCTAGGACTGAAAAAGCAGGATTAAAAAAACACAACTCTTGCAATTCATAATTTAAAATGGGACTATTATCTCAGCCACCAAAACTCAGAACCCCCTTTGACTCTTCACCTCTCCTGATTTCATTAGCATAGGCAGACTGCTGAGCCTCGTCATTCTAACTCCACAGCATCTCTTCTTTTCTATTTTGGCTGCTACCATCGTAGCCTTGGTTTCTAGTCATGGAAGTAGCATCCTTACTGCCCCTTTTCCATCACTATTTCCACTCTGGCACAATGCTTCAGAGCATTACTCCCAGCCAGCTCCAGTGCCATTGTTATTCTAGCTAAAACAAAATGTGACAACGCCTAAATAGCACCCACTGCTCAGGAAATGTAGTCCACACTGCAGAGCCAGAGATTCTAAATTATCCATAATCTGGCATCAGCTGACCCTCCCAACTTCATTTCCCACTCCTCCTGTCATCCTTACTGGTACAGGGACTGCATCCATTAAGTGCCAGTACTCACTGTACCGAGATGCAGGTCTTGTTTCCTGGCAGCATGCCTCAGCTTATGCCCTTCTACCTGGAATACCTTTCCTCCCCCATCTTCACACAGTGGCACCCTCCCATCACTGCCTCTTCAGACCCTTTCCTGATCTCCTTCGCCAACAACGTTCCTTGACCTGAACTCTCACAGCCCATCTTTTGTACCTTCTCCTGGGATCTGTGATACAAGGTATAAGATGATGTGGATGATGGTTTTAGACTCCCTTGTAGATGGTAAATATTTTGAGGGCATCAAACAGTTCTGATCAACCTTGTTTCTCTTACCAAATCTACTAGAGTGCTTTTGTATGTGTTAGCCACGTAAAATCTGTTCACTGACCAAAGCAGAAAATTTGGATTAAATAATACTTTGTAATCAATGTATACAGATATGTCAATGAAAAGAGTCAAACTCTGTAAAAAAAGAGGTTTACTCTGAGTCAAGTATGAATGACCAAGGCCAAAAGCACAATCTCACAAGGTCCTGAGAACATGTGCCCTAGGTGGCTGGGTTACAGCTTAGTTTTATACATTTTAGGGGACTAGAAGTTACAGGCAAACACAAATCAATACATGTAAGGTGTACAGTGGTTTAGTCTAGAAAGGTGGTAGAACTCAAATGAGGGTGGGGCTTCCAGGTCTCAGGTAGATTCAAAGATACTCTGATTGGCAACTGGTTGAAAAAGTTAACTCATTATCTAAAGGCCTAGGAATCAAGAGAAAGGAGTGTGTGGGTTAAGATAAGGGGTTGTGAAGACCAGGGTTCTTATTATGTAGATGAAGCCTCCATGTAGCAGGCTTCATCTACAAAGATGGTAAATGTCTCTTTTCAGATCTAAATAGGTACCAGACTCTTAATCTCTCCTGGATCAGGAAAAGACCTGGACAGGTAAAGGGATTCTCTACATAACGTAGATATTCCCCACAAGAGACAACCTTTGCAGGGCCATTTCAAAACACATCAAAGAGGCCAGGAGTGGTGGCTCACACCTGTAATCCCAGCACTTTGGGAGGCCAAGGCAGGTGGATCACCTGAGGTCAGGAATTTGAGACCAGCCTGGTCAACATGGTAAAACCCCGTCTCTACTAAAAATACAAACATTAGCTAGGTATGGTGGTGGGTGCCTGCAATCCCAGCTACTTGGGAGGCTGAGGCAGGAAAATGGCTTGAACCCGGGAGGCAGAGGTTGTAGTGCCAAGACTGTGCCATTGCACTCCAGCCTGGGTGACAGAGTGAGACTCCATCTCAAAAAACAAAACAAAAAAAGACAAAATACATCGAAGAAATATATTTCAGGGTAAAATACTTCAATTTCTTTTAGGGTCTGCTATTTGTTATGTGACACTATACTAGAGTCAGGTTGGAATTTGTTATCTTATTGCTATAAAGAGTCTGTTTTGTCACTCCTAAGATTTCTGTTTTAATGTTAATGCTGGTCACTTGTGCCTGAATTCCAAAGGGAGGAGGGTATAATGAGGCATGTTTGACACCTCCTTCCCATCATGGCCTGAACTAGTTTTTCAGCTTTACTATGGAATCCCCTGGCCCTATTCAGTTGGTTAGGGGGCTTAGAATTTTATTTTTGGTTTACAGGTATATCATAGAATTTTCAACGTGGGCGATGTGCAAAAATGTTTGTAATATATGGTTAATTGAAAACAGCAGATAATACAATTCCATGTATTGTGTGATCCTATTAAAATACATTCTCACACACACACACAAAGTTATCTGAAAGACTCCGTGCTAAATGAAACAGCTATGGTAGTTTTAATTTTTCCCTGGAATAGGCTGGGCGCGATGGATCACGCCTGTAATTCCAGCACTTTGGGAGGCTGAGGCAGGTAGATTACTTGAGGTCAGGAGTTTGAGACCAGCCTGGCCAACATGGTGAAACTCCATCTCTACAAAAATACAAAAATTAGCTGGGCATGGTAGTGAGTGCCTGTAATCCCAGCTACTCAGGAGGCTGAGGCAGGAGAATCACTTGAACCCGGGAGGTGGAGGTTGCAGTGAGCCAAGATTGTGCCACTGTACTCCAGCCTGGGTGACAGAGCAAGACTCTGTCTCACCACAAAAAAAAAAAAAAAAAAAAAAAATTCTCTGGATTTGCCATTTTTTCTGTAGTGAATATGGGTTAACTGTGTTCAAAATCACTTTTAAAAATGAAAAATTATTTGACTTAATTGTCTAAAAATTTTATCCTAAGGATGTAGAAAAAGATACAGAAGGCTACTGTTTCTATGTTTAAAACAGTAAAAAGAGGCAGACAGTCTGCCTATAAGCAACTAGCACATAAGCACTGGTATATTCATACAAAGGAATTCTATACAGCCATTACAAATCTTTATGTAGGAGAATATTAACATAGAAAGATGAATATGGTGTGTATTAAAAATAGGCCATACAATAGTATGGAGAAAATAAACCTACTTTGGTAAATACTTTTAATTTTTTTTTTTTTATTGAGAGAGAGTCTTGTGCTGTTGCCCAGGCTAAAGTGCAGTGGTGTGATCTCGGCTCACTGCAACCTCTGCCTTCTTGGTTCAAAAGATTCTTGTGCCTCAGCCTCCCGAGTAGCTGGCATTACAAGTACCTGCCATCATGCCTGGCTAATTTTTGTATTTTTAGTAGAGATGGGGTTTCACCATGTTGGCCAGGCTGGTCTTGAACTTGTGACCTCAGGTGATCTGCCTGCTTTGGCCTCCCAAGGTGCTGGGATTATAGGCATGAGTCACCACACCTGGCCTTATTTTTAATTTTTGTCTCAGTTCAGGTTGTTTTCTTTCAAGACGGAGTCTTACTCTATTGCCAGGCTACAGTGCAGAGGCGCGATCTCAGCTCACTGCAACCTGCACCTTCCAGGTTTAAGCAGTTCTCCTGCCTCAGCCTCCCGAGTAGCTGGGGCTACAGGCACATGTCACCATGCCCGGCTAATTTTTGTGTTTTTAGTAGATTCAGTTTCACCATGTTGGCCAGGTTGGACTCGAACTCCTGACCTCAGGTGATCAACTTGACTCGGCCTCCCAAAGTGCTGGGGTTACAGGCGTGAGCCGCTGTGCCCAGCCTCTCAGTTCAAGTTTAATGGAAACTAGAAAAGATCACTAGGCTGATTCCCTCTTATGATACATAACACAAATCAGCATCTACAACACAGCTCAGGCCATTCCCACCAAGGGAAGAAAGGCTGGCCTCTCCACCCCTTGTAGGAAAGGCCTGCTTTGTAACACACCAGAATTCATCTGAATCTGAAGTCTTAAGTTTTACTCATGGGAAACAAATATACAAAAGAGGTTTTGTTCTCATTGCTGCCTACTGGCATTAGTAAATAATTATATTTACATATGTATGTATTAGAAAAATCATGGAAGGATATACAGGAAAACTGCTTTGCTAAGGCTACTATAACTTTTTTCTTTTTGTCTCTAATATCTCCTAAATTATACTTTATAAACATAAACTACAAACAAAAATTAAACATTTAAATCTACTCACAATGTCAGGTGATTACAACTTTATCCCTTTCAAAGTAAAGCTCTGAAATCTCTTAGATTCTTAGAAGAAAAGCAGTTTAAGTGTTGACTGTATTTTGAGGCAATTTGAAGAAAAAGAACTAATAACAAGCCCTAAAACTGCTCTGAGGTCTACTCTTCATAAGAATCACCTGTGACGTTGGCTAAAATGCAGATTCTCAGGCACACGGTGCCAGAAGATCATTCTGTAGTTCTGGGATGGGGGCCAAGTGACGGTATTTCTGACATTCCCCACCACCTACAAGAATCACTGATGCAGGCGGCCCACTTTGAAAACTGGTTTAAAACAATGACGCTATAATGAAAGAGAGTTGGCAAAAAATTTAAAGTGAGGCATTAGAGATCACCTAAATTTTGTTGTTGTTGTTGTTTTTTGTTTGTTTTGAGACTGAATCTTGTTCTGTCGCCCAGGCTAGAGTGAGTGCTGTGGTGCAGTGCAGTCTCGGCTCACTGCAACCTCTGCCTCCCGGGTTCAAGCGATTCTCCTGCCTCAACCTCCCAAGTAGCTGGGGCTACAGATGCGCGCAACTGTGCCTGGCCAATTTTTGTATTTTTAGTAGAGACTGAGTTTTACCATTTTGGTTAGCCTGGCCTCAAATTTCTGACCTCAAGGGATACCATCTAAATTTTAATTCTCATACTTCCAGCTAAGGATTCTGAAGGCCAGCTAGGTTCAGTGACTTGCCCCAGGCCACAGAGCTGAACTAGAACTCACGTTTCCTAATTCTGTGAACAGTCCCTTGTCCACATATCAACAGCACAATTCTTTCTCCTTTAGCTGTGGGATGTGGGGGCTACCTGGACGATTCCTTTACAAATCCAACTTCCTCAACACACACACACAATACTGAATTCAGTGGTCCAAACAATGTTTACCGCCATGTAACCTGATGTCCCCTATATGT